AGTACATGCTAAATGCAAGGTTACATTTCACTGGTTGATTCCTACAGATCTTGATCGCAACCCATATTTTATCTTTATATCTCATGGTGTTCATACACATGCCCCTCCGCCTCCTCGAAAGGCCCCAGCAAAAATCATGAACGGAATCCTACAACTAATCAACCAGGCTCGAAGTCCAAGCTTAACACTTGGTAAGTACTCCCTAAGCAGGTTTAAAGTGAATTATAAGTGATTATTAACTACTATATAGGTGCTTTCCTAAAAAGTCCAGCGCTGCAGTCATTCTGTGCTGAGTATAGTTGTCATACGATCCAGCAAATCCATAATAGTTTCTCAAATTTAGACCCAATTAGGGCTATTATTAGGAAACAGCGCCTTTTGCATTATCCAGCAGGTCAAGATGTTAATGGTGTGATTTTTGAATTAGGAAAGAATATACAGCTTGAGGTAAGTACTTTATAACTAATCTATAACTGCTTGTTAACTGATTATATTACCTAGGAGTATGTGCAGGAGATCTACCAGAATAATAATCAGGTTTTCATTATCTGTATTCTTAAGGACCAAGCCGAACTTCTTCAAACTTTATCTTCGGTTGAGATTGATATGTCATACAAGCGTGTTCAATCAAAAGAGCTAAAGGAATTGGTATTTGCTGCATATCTGAATAATCAGAAAAAGAGTACATAAAGCTGCCTTATAACTGGTTAGTAACTACTTGCTAACTGCTTGGTTATAGTTATTACCCTATGTCGGGTCTTTACAACTGAGGACACAACGGAAGGCTATTATATCATATTCAAGAAGGTTTATGATATCGTCTATAGGTTAACAGGTAAAAAGCTTACCTTTCGTGCTATACATGGCACTGGACTTCATGCTCTAGTAATGGATATGGATAATAAACAGATTGAAGGTATTTTCTAACCACTTCCCAAGTACTTATTAAGTAATAGCTAACTATTTAAAATAGGGCTATCTCAGTTTCTAATAGAGATTGACCCGGGGAATCATTCACGACTCTGGATTCTAAAGAATATTCTTATTCTGTGTCGGGTGCATTTTCTTCGAGGCATTCGTGAAACTGTTCGTAAAAATTCTCTAAGTCAACATCTTGGGGCACGGATGGCAGCACTTCTAGAATGCGAGTCTGAAGAGGATTACCAAAAATGGTGCGATTGTTTAATTCGTTAGTAATTTCTAACTGGTTTATAAGTGCTCTATAAGTACTTGCTAATTATTCTTAGAGTATGAGCATCCTGCAGTTCAAAATTGGGCTCGACATAAGAAGAGCGCAGTTATTGCAGCAGGACTTAACAAGCATTGCTCTCTTATTCCCCATTATATTTTTGATCTAATTCGGAAGAGTACAAATGCTGTTGAACAAACACATAATAAGTCTAATCGCCGTGGAAAGCACTTGACACTATTACAAGCAATTCTGGAGTCAGTTTTCAACAAGCTACCTAATATTTTTTAAGTGCTTGCTAACTGCTTACAATATATGCATAGGTCATGGAAGCTAGATATACAAGACATTCAACAGAATCGAGCTTATATCTCCTACGGTCTTCGGCGTCGATATGCAACTCAAACCCTCGAAACTAGTTTTCTTAATAATATGGCTCGGTCTGGTACGTCTTTACCTTAAGTACTTATCGATCACTTATAAAGCAGTTTGCAAGTACTTATATAGAAATCTTCTATAGAACTAGCTCGGCAAGAGGAAGAATCTAATTCTTCTGAGAATATTTATGATCAAGATTATATATTCTTTCCATCTTCCAGCAGTGGAAGGCCGCTACAAAGAACTCCAAGTCAAAGAGGTAGTCGGAGAGGCAGTCAAAGCCAGCGAGGCAGTTCCCGGGCAAGATCAAGGTACGATTCTTATTAAGTGCTTAGCAACTACTTATTAAGTACTTACCTCTACTTTTCTAGTACCTCTCAAGCCAGTCTTCAAAGAGTTGCTACAGCTAATTTACGCGACCAATCTCAGAATACTGAGCTGCAGAAATTAGAAGAGGAGTTAAAGATTCAGAGTATTAAAGCTGAATTACTTGCGAAGCAGATTGAAATTAGAAAGAAAGAGCGAGAATTACGCAAGTTAGAGTTAGAAAATGAAAAGTAGTTTGAATCTCCAATCACTTCTCAAGTACTTAAGAAGCAGTTATCGACTACAGGTTTCAGTAGTCAAGATATATATAGTCGACCGTATATCCTCTATGCATCTCTACCAACCTGTCAAATGTGCTATTGACCTAGTAAAATTACCTATTTAACTACTTATTAAGTGCTTTTGAAGTACTTTATAAGTACCTTACTTTAATTAGTTAAGGGTTGTTTCACTCCTTTGTAGGCTCCCTTTTATCCTTCAGAACGAAGTACTTAGATTTAATGGTAAAGGTATTGAAAACAAAAAAGCGGTAAGATAAATACAGGCGTAAATTCAACGTGGAATTTGGGGCACGGGCCAAATTCCACCCGCCTTCATGCCTGAGGCAGACTAGTGCGTCGATGCCAGCTTTTAGCGCGTCGAACCCAACTACTTTCTGGCGGAAGGGTATGTCCCGATGTTTCAAGTTCCAACATGACGTTCGCGTCACCTAACCATTGTTGAGAACGGGTTCTCCTACTACACTAGTTAGTTACTTTGAGGACACATGAGCTGCTTGTGAAAAGACCGGGTCATCAATGTAACAACACTCTTGTTTCTTGACGACAGTTGGATATCGGTATCGACTAATTACAAAATTATATGGTAAGGAGCATTCTGAATGTCATACAACATTACGCTCTGATTCGCGTGTACACCCCGGCCGATAGTTTGCCCGTTTGGTTTTTCCGCTTGGGTTGCCCAAGATTGTTCCAGGGTCTAACTGAACTGGATCCTCTTTGACACCCTGAGTTGGGTGCCGGTTTCCACTACCTCTCTTCATCACGACAGGCACCCTCAGACACCACCTTCAAGGGCCGGAAGGGATCGCTCGAATATTGTCACGTTACTGAAACTACATCTCACAGTATCACTAGGCATCACTTTCCTTTCTGCCGTCAGCCATGTACGAACCTGTAGCTCCTCGGTACAAAAAGACCAATATTACCCGCAGCCGAAACGGATGCACTCCATGCAGACAGAAAAAACGAAAAGTGAAGCCTACCCCGCAATGGTTCGAGTAGTTACTGATATGACACGTCGTCGACATTAGTGTGATGAGAACAAGCCTAGCTGTGGGCTCTGTTCGCGCCTCGGAATCCATTGCTCTTTTCGGAGTCCTCTACTTCGATTTCAAGAGTCGTCTTTCAATTTGGGGCGGACAGCAGAAGTTGATACTCTGAATCTTGACTACAGTGAAGTATCTCGTGCCAAGTTGCATAATCATCGACATACCCAGCACGGCACGATCAGCGAAGATGATGTCCCGAATCTTAATTCCACCAGGGGCCGCCAACTCCAGATTTTGGCGAGCTTCTCCCAGGCGGAGAATATCAAAGCCCCCACTTCTACGAATTTGAATATTCCTCATAAGCCCACAATCGCTGTTTCCGACGGACTTTTTCTTCACCAATACTTTTCCCATATCATCAATTTTCTACCTAAAAGCGTACGACTAGTTGTGTCAAGCGGGTTAGACTTGCCCGCTCTTCGAGAAGCTACGGTTGCCTTTTCTGCCGCTCGATTTGCCTACTCCCTTGGGAACCCGTGCCAGGCACCGTCAAAGAACTTGTCACCACTTTTTATTCAATCGCTGAACCACTTCGGTCGTGCGATTCAATTGGTTAAGAAAGACACCAGCCAGATCGAAGATATCCTTGCTGCAGTAATTTTCTTCATACTCTTTGAAAATGTCGTTGGGACCGTCAGGACCTCTTACTGCCATTTACGAGGCCTAGAGACTCTCATCCTTCGGCACCAACGTGCTTTATCTGGAACACCTTACGGCCGACAGGTATTGCGTGCGAGTCTTTTCATCCGTGCAAAAGGGTTTCTCATTCTAGGGCCGTTGCATGCAACACATCGCAGCCAAGTTGCTGAGCGAGAGCTCGATCTTCTTGCGCGCCGGATCTGCGCACCACAAGAACTCCTCTTTCTCACGATGGCAAATTCCATCCGTGTGTCATCTATTCTCCTTCTTCAGAGATGCTCACAGTCCCGCTGCGATGATTTGGAGTCATTTCACCTGAAGCTTTCAACCCCTGGAGATGGAGAAGGTTGTCTTTCGGGATGCAATCATAGCGAGTCCGAGGTTTACCGGAAGCTGGAAGATCTTAGGCAATATGTCGATTTACTCTTCGCTCAGTCGAATTCGCTATATAATGCGTTCCTTCGATGTACGGGCCATCCAATATTCCAGCGAACCGACCTCAGCTACGCAGAAGATGCCATTCTGCCTATCACATTCGATAGCCGTGAAGACGCAATTGCCTGTGCGATGTATGCCTTGGTGCAGGTCTATTGTGACCGCCAAACACTTAGGAATTTGCTTCTCGCGGAGGCTGGAGAAATGTCCTTCCCGTTAACTCGGTGGGCTAAAGTGATCCTTGGTATTGCGAAAGGATGGGATCCATCACGATACTTATACGAGGAAACGTATAACATGAACATAGGATGGATTGTGGAGTTGCTTTGTCTTCGCTGGCCCAACGCTGATATCTTGACCTACCTCACTCAAAACCTCGTCCCTGGCCTTAGATTGGCTCGGCCTGCCATGGAAGATACTGCAGGGGCTTTGGTGCTATTTGATTTGGTAATGGAAATGCTGAAAATCGAAACTGCCCGTGGGCGCAAAGTCTTTGCCATGCACCTTGTCCATGAAGATTCTTCCGAGGAAACCGGATTCTTTCTGCCCAATCAGTCATTACATTTTGCCATCCATGGTTATACTGACGGTGGAGAGTTTTTCAATGATTATATCTCACCGTCAACTTGAGCTAGAAGTAAATAAAACGTAATTTCACTTTTATTTCCTGCTGTATACGTCCAAAACTCGGTCACTTGTCGCGCACAAAGCTAGCGTAAGTAGGAAGCCAAACCTTTCAGGGAGTAATGAGTTTCTTCAAGAGAATTCGGTAGAGGGTATTCGTTCCGCAAGAGAATCCTGTTTGAACAGTGTCAGTTCACCGTTATTTGCACCTGTCTCAGCGCGAGATGTATAATTGGCATGGGCGGTGACGGGTCTTAGCCTGAGAGGTGCTGTACATCCTTACTGCTTCGCGAACAGACTCAACATCTCGTACCTTAGTCGAAAGCCTAATAGTCTACCAGTTATCACACCTGAGAATGACCGAATGACCTAGGCTGGATGTACTGCTTGGAAAGTGCGAATCCACATGTATCAGGACTTCCCTACATCTGATAGGGCTAATGATTCGGCCACGGTAGTACCGGTGCTAATAGTCCTGCTTCGCAGCCTTCCAGTCCACTGGGCCACAAACTGTTACGAGGCGCCCTCACAGGCGATTCCAAGGAGTTACAGGGCTTCTCCGAGTAGTGGTTGCGGCCGGCAAGGATCTCGTGTCTGCAGACTCAGTAGCTGGATGATTCGAAGGCGAAGACCCTTCGGCCCTAATCTGTTCCGGGCATGTTAAATAGCCTTGGGGAGTTGTGCATTACATTTTTCCTCCTCTAATCACATCGGCTTCTCCTTACCTAGTTGACGGGCTCTTGTCCAGTATACTGCCCTTTACAGCTCCCTTTCCAGCGCTCTGGCTAGAACTCGTCAGTATAATCACTCCACAGCTCTTTGTATCTGTATAATATGTACACAACGTAGTATTCTTTTGTCCGCTTCAGCAAAGTAACGAGAACAGCCTTCGGTCTAGTCGAATTCCAATGCGAAGTGTTACGTTAATTGACAGGCACCACTGCGTACAGCCGGGTGCCTCCAATGAAGTGAATTTCAGTAGAATAAAATCTACAGCGCCTCACAGGTGATAGATATCATCCGTACTTTGCCCGAATCCGTCTTGGTAACTCAGGGACGTGAGTAACGCCAAAAATAGTGCCAGTGCCCTAGTTAGTTAAGGAGCTATCGCGTGATACGACCGGACTTTAAGAGCACAATGAAATAGCTTGTTAATACGTTTTCGTATTTTGTAGCGTTATCTTCGTCGACTGCTTGATCACTAACTCCCTTGCTCAAGCGCTACAACATGATCCATAGATGCGGCTCTTTAACCTTCCGTCTAAATCCTGATGATTTCTATCCAACAGACCTTCACCTCCGACCTAGACAAAATCGCCCCGTTGTGCAGTGTCAAAAACGTTGAAGATATTCTCACTGCTGCAAACGTGCAGCGGGCTTTATCAACCTAGGTAGATACGGCTGTTGCTGACTGTTGACGCTCTCACTAACTAGGAATTTCGTTGACCTCAGTAACCAGCCTTATCCAAGAATTCCAGAGACACTCTCAATTTAAAATTCACCGTTCAGGCCTTTAGTAATAATCCGGTGCGCAAGAACGGAATATTCACGCCAATTACGTTTCCTGCTTCACGGTCCACCTAGAAAGAGTGGCTATGTGGCAGCGAATGTGCGTCAAAGACGGCTAAGTCCAGGCTCATTCTCGTGTATGAAGAAGGGAAATTGCGCTGAGAAATCGAAAGGTTAGAAATCATTATCAGAATCTAACTGGCTCAAATCAAATCCAAGTTCAAATATGGTCACGGACAGCAGAAATGCAGGACACTCGTGGAATCCCCAGAATCGACAATTGGCATCGACAGGGCTTGGGGATTCCCAATATGGCTGCCAAGTATCTCAGGACCAGGATCCTCAATTCTTTCTCTTGTGTGTTAGCGCGAAGAACTCAAGTGTTTTGATTCATGTTGAAGTCAGCTGTCTTACGAATGATCAACATCTCTTTCACAATATACACCAACGGTACCTGAAGGCACGTGAGCAGCATAAATTCAAGATTTCAGTAACTGTTCCATCATGGGTCACCATTATCCTTCACACGACCTCTAAGTGGGTTTCCCACATTAAGAATATAGCTGGTATAGATTGCAATCAGCCCAAGAGCTAGACACAGTATAATACTGGCAACCATTCCTAGGGATGCGAATGCAGAGGGGATTCCTAGACTTCCAAGCGCAACAGCGTTCACAATCAGGACAACGGTAAGATGCTTCCACCCAAGTCGATGGAAGTGAGCGTCTCCTTCAAGTGTCTTCTGTCGTTCGACATCATAACGATCTTTGATCTCGCCATGGTCTATTGTTTCGGTCTGGCATATATTATCCGTGTTTGATTCGGACCTTATCAGGCGGGATTGGGGATTATCTTTGATCATGGAGCGAGCAGCAGCGATTGTCGACTTTTCCTGCATAATGTATTGTGAACACCTCATGAGTCTTCAAGAATAGGGGCTGAAAGAGATGCAAAGAACGAATCTTCAAGAGGAGAGAGGGGTCTTTGGAGGAATAAGTATGTCCGGTTTCCCGATCACGCTTTGAATCTACGGAATCTACCACGTGGGGGAGGATGATTTTTCTTCGACCCACTTAGTTTTACATACATGACACATTTTGGCCTAATCTCCGATTCATTGGTCTATCACCATCACAATCCGTCTCTCAGACGCCTGTTGGAATAAGTCCGTTAAGCATTTGAGACACGGAAAGGCTACTTCCTGGGCCCCTATCAGCGGCAATATAGAAGCTGGCTATTTGGCCTCCCATTAGGCTCTGGAACGAAGCGTGACTAATTGAATGCTTAGTAGTCATGTGCTCAGGTCGTCTTGAACAATGGGTATGTGATAAAGTTTTGGTATACCTCTCTATTGGATTTCGGCTCGGGCAATGGTTCGAGGACTCAGAGCTCGAAGAACAAAGCCCGAAGAGTGGCGACGAGGACGTA